CACCACCACCTTGATTCTTGTCTTTAATTAGTACACAGTGTCCTACCTCCGGGTTTTAGCCTTATGCGTCTAAGAAGTTGTGTAACTTCATTAAGGAACACTTCCTTGTGCTGGATCAAAACTGCCTGTCTGTCTGTTAGGTTTTCATCCTTGCAGTGGAGAAAAGGAGGAAGAACGGTGCACCTCTTCTCTCCAGCACTCGTGTCCTCTTCCACCCGCATCATTCGGAATGTTTTCTGGGTGTACATTTTTGATGATTTTACTCATTTCTCAGATTGAAGGTATGTCTTACTCTTTTTATCATGGTTTTCATGTTATGACGTTTAGGCACAAACTTTACATTGTAAGTGATAAAAACAATAACATCACAACTAATGGGATAGCACATAAATAGAAGTTATTGGTGATTTTTCTGAGAACATAGCCTAGAATCTGGACTAGGTTATGACTAATCATGACATTCTATGAGTCTACGTAATGCCGTATCACTCTTAAACACTTTGGATCCACAGCAGAAGAAGGAGGGGACATGTACCTGAATACTTACAACATAGCAGGTACTGTGCTAGCCATTAGCCACTTTGTATGTTAGAATGTTTAAAATTTAATATTAATATCTTTGCTTTATGGATAAGGAAAATGAGACTAATATTTACAGATCAGAGAGATTAGATATGCTACTCATGGTCACACAGCTCATAAACTTGATTTGAATCAGAGCATATTCCAAAAAGCCCATGCCCTCTCCTCTTTATTGCTCTTTAAAAAAACCACACCTTAATTAAGCAGGGCTCACTTCACAGATGACTATCAACGTGATAGGACATGAGTAGAAGATTATGTTTAGCACTGAATCAGGGCTACCTAAAACTCTGACAAGTGAAAGCCTTATACTTAACTATGGGAGGTAAGACTTCAAATGCAAATATCCCTGCAAGACCAAATTCAGTAATTTACATTGAAACAGGCTTTGACAGGAGGCAGAATCTGGAGACAGGCATAAGGAGAATGAGAAGACAAAGATGACAAGTGCAGAACAAGGTGAAATGTGGAAGATGCTGAGGAACTCTGATTTCTTTGCCTCCTTTCCCATTTCGCTTACATTTTACTGATTTTCAAATATCAGTCTCAATTTCTTTGTATGTGAAGTGGGAATATTTCATGGCATTGCTGTACACAGCTGCTAACTGGGGCAAATGAATCATATGAGAACAACTCTCTCTTTCAATCACAGTGGATGAGGGTTAATGCCAGATGGATTTTCCTTCCTCCTGTTTCTGTGCAGAAAAGATCATCCTTCGAGTACAGGGTCAAGAACTGGTTCGTCCTAAAAGGCTTCCTCTGATCCAGAAGCGAGATGTTGGACACATCCATGACGATGACATACCGGTACAGGTTTTGATTTAGTAAATAGGATTTATTTGCTTTCATAGGCATGTAGAAAGCTGTCTCTGGCCCCAACCAGAGCAGGTAGGAAGAGAGGAGTCTCATTTTTTTCTGAGGACTCCCACCCATGTGCTTGGGGGTAAGCACATGGGGGCAACCCCTCGATGAGTTAGAAAACAAAAAGGACTAAAGCACAGGGTTTAGGGGTACCATTTTGAATTTTCCAGTGGAGGAGTTGTACCAACAGCTTTCCAGGCTGACTTAAAACAACCTCATTGTTCTGAGCTGGTGCCTATACAATGCTCTCTGGAGCATGTTGCTTTCCCTGGGATCTGATAGGC